AACTTTTTTCCCTCAATATTGTTTTTGAGACTTATCCACTTTAATACATGATACTAAGGATCATTAATTTAAAATAATGTTTGCTACCCCATTATATGGAAATATCACATTATTTTAATCCATTCTCCTACTGATAAACATTTAGGCTGTTTCAACAGAGATTTTTTATATATCATACAGTTTGTTATACTATCTGGGGTGCATATGAATAAAGCTCTGCCTCAGAACACATCACATGGTGTTGTCACTATGAGAAGCAGCTCAACCACAAATCAAACTTTCTTTGGTAGAGTTGCTTCTTGTGACTTTTAATTGGACAGAGGGAATCACACGCCAACTGTAAATGTCAGATTCTTGAAAAGTAAAGATATAGCTGAAGGAACCCGCACTATAGAGAGGATGAATACTGATTCCTCTTTACCCTGAAACATCAAAATACATTACTGTGAACTCTGATGCTCTTTTTTCAAATGTCTAAATTTTGGATCTAGCTGCATGGTTTCAGTGGAGCTCAGTAATTGGTTTCTGAATTGGTAACATGATATTACCATTGGATGAGCATAAACAGACAAAAGTCCAGGCTTATTTTTCTTCTTCAGGGCTTAGGAAACGTGACAAATTTCAGATATTGAACCAACAATAGATTTCATAGCATAAAACCAACATAGCATAATTGAAGTGGAGCTCATCCTTCAAACCACTGCTAATTTTCCCCAATTAAAGTGTCCAAATACCTATGACATATTGAAATATCAATCAAACATCTCCTACCTAAACTTTGGTTTTAATCGTCCCTGAAAGAGAATGCCTATTCTGAATATGCCCATTCTGACTATCCTCTCAGTGGTACTCAGTTTCAACTGCTCTGGAAGTTGACTGCCTATCTTTCAGAGTTCTCAAATACTCTTTGTAATCTGTATTAGTCTCATGGCTGCCAAGTCTTCTTCATTCAAGTTGGACGATATATCGGTCAACCTAAGCAAAGCCATTCTATGGTAATAACACCTAAATTGAAATTACTTACAGTAAGGTTTATTTCTCTTCATGTTATCTGTCATTCACAGTCATCTTCAGCTTTGTTCCATCATTCTGGAACCCAGGTGAAGGAGTATCCCTCTTTGGGACATGCCGTTCTTGTTGCAAAAAGAAAAGAGAGATGACAAAACCAAGTGACAACTCTTAAAGTTTCTCCTCAGCGGTGGCATACATCACTTCCTTTCGCATTTCATTGAACAAATCAAGGCATAAGGCCAAACTTGCCATTCAACAAGGTGGGGTGGAGGTAAAGTCCCATTGGGAGGGACAAAAAATATTTGGGAACAGTAATACTATCTACCACAGAGGTTGCTTTCATTCTCAAGCAGGTATCCTTTTGACTGGCTTTTAGACTATTTATAAAATCAGAATATTTTTAGGTTTTGCTAATATACAAGTAAGACTTTCTTATCTCTGGGATGGGGTTTAGTCCAACTTAATATTTTCTATGAATCTTCAGAAACATAAGAATTAAAATCACTTTGAAAAATCAATAAATATCTGGAGGCCCCATGCATGTAATTGGGACCCAAGTATACACAATATTAACTTATAAACTTAAGCAGTTGAAATCTTTACCATATCACTCTGAATGAAGGAAAATAACTGATTACCACTCCACTCCCATTCTAGCTATCAGAGGACCCTCAAAAAGAATTTCATATAGTTAGTATTTTAAAGTAGACAATTCTAGTCTCTTTAAATCTCACAAAAATCTCTCTTGCCATTTTTGTGTGATGTTGCAAGGAACAGAGGTTTAATTTAATTTATATAGGTGGCAAATGACAGATTTTTAGATTTAGTTATGTATGACATGTACATTCAGGTCAATTTTTTTTTTTTTGTCTAGCAGTTCTTTCTTTTGTACTTTTTAAAAGTTATTTGTAAATAGCTAGTATTTTGGTTACTGAGCCCAGCTTTGCTTAATCTGACTGTCTTTGCAGCAGTCTCTTTCTATTTTAAGATACTTTGGAAATTATTGGTTTGTTTTCTAAAAATGAAGTAAGCAAATGATCTCATTTTGGGGAACTATCTTCTTCTTAAATGATATTTATGATTAAATGGTTTAAAACAATTCCCAGTTTTGTTTTTCAATAATAGAAGTGACAACTAATCACATGGCACAACAAAATGTAGTCACTCGTGGAATAATAATAATAATTATAGCTAACAATTATAGAGTGCTACTGGCATTGTTTTAAGTACTTTACATGTATTGATTCATTTAATCCTCATAACAATCCTATGAGATAAGATACCAGTATTATCCCCATTTTATAGATGGGGGATTTATAATACTTACTTTAATACAGATCTAAATTCAGCTTTGGAAAATAAGTCACGTTTGGTAGGAGTTGTCAACGAGGCTAGGAAGTTGGCCAGTTAAAGCAGGAAACCAACAGAAGAAAGGGAAGTGGTAGCAGAACCTTGTTTAGAAGTTTCCTGAACCTTATCTATTCTCTAAGTAGAAAAATTTCAAACAAAAAAAGCTTAGGCATTTCTTTTAAGCTGTTAGTCAAAGGAGAATTATTTTCTATTTAGCTCTAGGTCAATAAATAATAACCTTTTAGTTTTTGTCAAGAGCAAGATCAGGAACTTATACAGAGGTTGCCTTATGATCTGGAAACATTAGCCTTTTCTAGTCTTCAAAAGAACACAAAAGCTCAGGAATTGTTCTAGTTAGAATAGACACAAAGTGCATAAATTCCAATTTTCCCTTTCCATGGTTGATCACCTTCTCAATGGCTACGGGAACACAACCCATTGCAGGACAGCTGCACGTACCTGGGAGCAAACAGGAAGTCTAAGAGGAGCTCTGACAACCCAGCCGCACGTTCATCTGGAGAGAAGTTTTCTGTTTTTAGAGGTTTTGGTGGACTATTGTATGTGCATAAAATGTTTTTATAGAGACAGATTTTGTTTTATATGATGATATGATTTAATAGATAAATAATTAACCTAAGGGAAATAGTAATTAACTCCAATTCATGGTTCTAAAGTTGTATTTGATTTAAAAACATCACTCAAGACTTGAAAAATTATATAAGATGAAGAATCAAATGACAGTATTAATGAGTCACATTTTTATTGTATTTATGGTAGTTTCAATTTGCTGTCTATAACATGTTCACTGGTCTTCTCAAAGAAGGGGTTAAATTTCAGTGGACTCTTTCTTCTAAATATTAGGAGTAACATCTGTCCATTCTTACCAGCTCATCCCTGAAAATAGAAACTCTAGAAAATAATCCATTACTAAGTTTGCTTTCCATATTTGATTTAATCCTTTAAACATTGGAAAGAATTTTCATAGGAAAATTAGAGAGACTAAGAGAAAAACCAGGAGGAAAATAATAACTGGATTTGTCAATAGCTTGGATGTGGTTGAGAGAAAGGAGGCAGGCAGTCAAAAGTGATAACTGGTTATATCTCCAGATAGTTATATCTGTACAAGAGATTGGACAATACTCAGGTTTATGTCATTGATAAGTCAGACTGGATGGGTTAGGAAGCTGTAGTATGTTACCTTTCCTCCAAAACTTGATGTTCCTCTTGTGAATATATTATGACTTTGACTCTTATCAAATTTTAGTGAAAGGTAACATCAAGTAGTAATAAAAGCCCTCTAAATAATTTGCAATTGTGTTAACTTTTTTTTTAAAGGGGTTAAGTGCTTTACACATGATAGCTTTTGCCATGTTCTTCCAGTTAAGGAGCAGATAGAAAAAATTTAAACACAGCAAGACTGTTACATGCCAAAGATCACATAACCTGTAGGTACAGCCTATCATTAATCTAGTGCAATATTTTAAAATTCACTAGACTACTAAATGTAGTGATCAGTCAACGATGCACCTGACATACACCCTTCCTGTTTCATAAAAATCATCCTGTTAAGCTTTGTGGATTTATGCGTTTTAAACCTAATTGTTTCAAGAAATCGTCTAAAAACATTTTTGGTGCGGAGTGGAGTGGATACGCAGGCTCAGAGAAAAACTCAGAGTTTTCAGATCCTTGGCTCTTTTTCTACCGGTCCAAAAGGATAAATGGATACACTAGGCTGAAACGATTCAGAGAACCAGTATTAGGATGCTTCTATTTTAAAATGGTGAAGCAGCTTTTAAAAGAGAAAAGTATGTACAATTTTGCTCTCAGGCAAACTAGGGTTAAGGGAATCATTGCTGTTCAAAAAATGTTCTTGAGACATTGGTGTAAATTTTAAAAAATAATTTTTAAAAAGGAAAGCAATCGTATTCTGGAATTCCTCCCCCCACCCCCCGCCCTCTCCTAGAACTCCAACCCTCCAAATGGCTAAGTCGCATAGCTGAAAGGATTTTGCTCATTTTTTCCAAAACACTTCACATCTGGGTAGTCGCCAACCATGGAAAGTTTCAAGTAAATGTAACCTTTGGGAGAGGGCCGAGGCTCGTCTGGGGCAGCCTTCTCGGGACCGCGGCCCTCAGACGCGTCGCCACACGCCCTTACCCGATACCCCAGGGCCAGCTGCAAGCTTGGACCAGCCAAGCTCCGACGGCCCGGCCGGACGCCAGCTCCGGCCAACCCCAGTGACCGCCGCCCCCTCGGCTGTAGGGGCTCTTGCTCATCAGTCTCCCCAATAGTTCTAGGCCCCAGAGTCCCAGAGTCCATCTGCTTCATAAATGACGAGACTCCGAGACCCCAGCCCCAACTAGGGCAGCTTGGAGCCGGCTAAGCGAGAGGGAAAGGGCTACTCAGGAGCCGGGCCTGCCTCCCCTGCCTCACACGTCAGTTTGATTCCTCTCCCCGCCCCCCGCCGGTGCCCCGCCCAACTCTTCGCGCACCCCGCGCCGAGAGAAATTTGACTGCTGCAGTCACCAATCAGAAGAGGGGTCGAAGAGCTGAGCCAATCGGAGCAGGTGAAGGGGGCAGGCCGCCGGCCTCCTCCCGCCTCCGGGAGGGTGAGCGGGGAATGTCTCCGGCCCTCCCCCGCGCTTCAGCCTCAGTGCGGAGCCCTCAGCGGTGAGGGGAGGAGCGGCCGCGGACAGCTCCGGAGCAGCGGCGGCTGCGGGTGCGGGAGCGGAACCACACCCACGTCGCTGCCCCTGTTCTCTTTTTGCTCTCTCGTCGTCCTGCGGGAGACCGCGTTCCCGGAGGAGAGCGGCCGCCCACGCCCCGAGCATCCTCCCCTGTGCAGCGGGCGCTGACAGACCCGGCGGCATGATGCGGCTGCGAGGCTCCGCGATGCTGCGGGACCTGCTCCTGCGGTCGCCTGCCGCCGCCTGCGCCGCTCTGCGGCGGGCGCAGCCCTTGGCCACCTTGAGCCGGCGCCCCC